CTTGGCTGGCATGGAACGCCACTCGCGCAAAGCGCAAGCCTCTGAAGGAGGGACTTAAGACAAAGACAAACATGCCCGCGTGTCACGGTTGGGCAGTTTTGGTGTAACGGACTTTCAGTTGGATGTACAACCTGTACATTTTGAGGTATTCACAAGCTGGGTAGACAGGATTTTAGATCCTCATGATGCCTCTCACCTCATCCAATTTTTAGAGCTTTATCCTGAAAATTGGATGAGGTGGACTCTTTTTAAGTTGGTCAAATTGAAAAAATATTCTCGAATGGTAGGCCGTGAGATTGAAACTAGCTTATGTAAGCTCAGCCAACTTGTCATTTGGCAAATTTTCCTTTATATTTCTTCAATTGTGTAGTTTTCATTTTTTTCCAAAAAAATTGACACAAGTCAAGACCTCCATGTTGGGCATCTTGAGCCCAGCTCAGTTTTCAAGAAATCCACAAGCTCAATTCTCTATGATTTTTGGCACAAAAAACAGCCTAAACACTCGACTGTGACACCCAGGTGTGTTTGTTTTGGGCTCAAGCCTCTCCCGCACTTTGTGCATTCGACAGAGAGGCTGTACAAGCTCAAGGTTGGCACCAGTGTGAGATTGTATGACACTTTGTTTGGCTCTCTGAGCCTATTCTTTTAGTTATATGTAGATTCATGCTATACATAAGGCTCCAAAAATTGGGTTGGTCAAACCGGACATACATGTGGTTGACCCTACCTAACCCAAGAAGTCCCAAGACAAGTTTGGGTTTGGGCAGCATACTTCCAATTCTGACCCAACTCAAGTTTTGGGTAGGGTTTGGGCACTGTTTTTTGACCCAAACCCAACCCATTTGCCAGCTGCAGAACAACATAAAAACCACTGGCTTTTCCTGGCTCAGTCTAGGACACCCAATTCTGGTTCAGGCCAGGCATGAACACCAAAACACAAGCAAGTTATTTTTTGCCATTCTGCCAAAAGGATAAATCCAAATTCAATCAGTTACAAGTGTACATCAGTCCAATAAAATGCACATCAAAGGTGAAATTTCCAGCACGTTGAATTTCCATAAAATGTCATTGTAATCAGAGGTTTCTGTGATGTTTTAATAAGTAAAACTGAGAAAAGTTTTTTTGTTGGACTAGTTCAATTGGATTGAGTTCATAATGAAAACAAAAAGCAAGCTCAAACATTTGATACCTTTTTTATCAAAAGGAGGATGGTTCATTTTACCAATTTCTTCAACCATGCTTGATCACCATGAGCAAGGTAACCCATTGAAACTTGATATTTCAGCCATTCAGACAAGTGGTCATTCCGTTTTTCTACTCTGCAATACACATCCTTGAATTGAGTGAGATCTTCCAGTAGTCTTGTGTAATAAGTTTCATGGATTTTCCTTCTCTCAAGGTGACTATAATGGGGGGATAGATTCCCATTTTGGATGAATTGTAGAAATTTAGTTAGTGTTTCTTTGACTTCCTTGATTCTTGAGTACAATAAAACTAGCTTGAATTGATCTTCAAAGTTTACAAACCTCTCTGGTTTTTCTTCTGAATTTCTTTTAATACTATCAGGGGAAAATTCATTTGCAATGGAATCCAAAAGCTCACAAACAAGGAAAGTCAAATCCCTTAGCTTAGGATTATTAATTTTATGGTGTTCCAGATTATATTGCATTAGGATCACAAGCACATTCATGATTTTCTCACAGTCTTCTTCAAATACTGCCAAATGATCCAATCTTGAATTGTTTTGATTTTTTTGATTGTTCAGAATTCCTTTTCTAGACTTGATTTTTCTAATATATTGATTCTCTTCCAAAAGAGAGACCTTGAAAATTTCCCAATCATTCATGTGTTCCAACTCAGGGATCTTGGAGCTGATATGACTTATGTTCCACAATAGAAAAGAAAATTTGATAATTTTTCTCTCATCCTTGGTGAGGGCTGTTGTAAAAAAAAGAAATCAACATGCACATACCCAAAATTGATATCCCTGAAAGTGTTCAATTACCTTTAAATGAAACATTTAATGAATCCCAGTACCAGTGCTCAGTGAAATCAAATGGTGATCCAATGAGACTACTACTGATTTCATGAAGAAAACAAGCAGAAGTGTATATATTCACTTGTTTTACTATTTCCTCATCATGAAATAGTCTTCTCACTGCTTCTTCACTTATGAATTTGTTCACAAGCAAGAAGTCAATTGTTTTGAATGCATACTTCCAAAAGATTACTTTTTTAAATAAGTTTTTATGTTCCAATTCTACAAAGTATTTTCTTATGCTTTTATTGGCCATCAACCTCTTCAATTCTTCCAAAAATGGTTGGCCAAAGTCTTGATTGGATTCACTGGAATTTAAGTCAAATACATTCAACTTTGAAGCTTGAATGGATTCTGAAACTTGGCTCTTGTTGTGGTATGAAAGTATCATGTTACTGAATTTACTATTTTGAATTTTGGGATTGAAGTTTCCTAAGGTCAAGAGCCTCAAGTGTTTTAGTGCAGACAGATTTCTCTGAGTCTTTTTGAGCAGTTTCTTTGCCAAAAGGTATTCTTCTGGACCTTTGTTCTGTTTCAACTGCTTTTTAAGCTCAGAGAACAAAATTGAAATTTCTTTTGAATCCACATAAAGTGAAATCACCTCTTCTAGAAATTGAAAGAGTAATTTTTTTAGCTTCCTGAATCCTGTTTCTGGTAAGTAGTCCAAAGAAAAATATGATTTGAAGGCTCACTTTGGTTCCTTTTCCAACTTTCAATCATACCTTAGTAGCCTCAAATATGCAACATCATCAGTGCTAGAATTCTACACATAGACATTACATACATATCAAAAAAGAGATGAATGACTAACAAATTTGGTTGGTAAAATAATCCAACTGTTTTAAGCCATTGATGAATTGATCAAAGAGTGCTTCTGGATGCACACAGTATTCACTAGTACTAGCTACCTCAGTCTCTTTAAAATTAGAAATAGGGCATTTTTCCAAGTCTGATGATTGTCCTACATCTGAAAGCTTGAGATCATGTGGGTGGAATATGAGATCTGAAACCACGTTTTGGGGGGTATGGAGAAGAGGTGAAGGTTGTCAGCAAGCAGAGCTATTTATGATCAGCGCTGCATAAGTAGAACTTATGGAATTTAAATATGTACCACACAATGGGCAAGCACTATGGTCCCCACTGATAACGCCAAGTTTCTGAAGAGATCCTCCACCAGTGACAAATTTGATAGACCACAAGCCAGTAAAAATTAATTGAATCAGCATAGTGCCTCTTAGAAATTACATATGCTGAAAGGAATGCTAGAGGTCAACTGGCCAGTTAAGAAGAAACCATGAACCCTACCATTTATAATATCATAGCAGCACAGCTGGGAAATGGGAGACAATCTTCAGCGCCGAGGAAACTACGCAGTTGCATCCCAAATCTGCAACACAATGTGTACCTCCAGGGAGTCCAGCAGATTGTTTGCTGTTCGGAATTGAATATAATCCAATATAAATTTGATGTCCATAGTCAGCCATTGTCTAGTCTTTCCAAATCAGCCCTACAGAAGCAATTCCATTGCTGTGAAGCGTATAGGTATGAGTCACAGATTTGAACTGATCACGATGTTTTGTTCATGTTTCCGTCTCCGATGATGCGCTTCGCTCAGAGCAGATGAGCTTGTTGCTTTCTGCCGAATCGCGTGATTGATCAGGCTTCAGTAGGATGTCGGCGGCCGGCGTGTCATGCGACCCTCGGCAAACTCAGATAACAACCACTCGAGACGTTATTTACAGACGAATATGTACATGGGCGGCTGGTGCAGCAAAGCTCAGTGTAACTATGAGCGAAGAGTTCACGAGTTGAGAACCAGATGAGATCGTCGTGGTCTTGTAAAGTGAACAATTTTGGGTCGGCGACACGAGGGTAGTAGGGGGTATGTATGAAAGAATACAACTGAATAAAAGTCCTCAAGAATGAAGATTGACTGGTCAAGATATCAAAGATGATAATTCAAGCAATGGGTTGTGTACTCATATGGATGAGAGGAAAAATCACATTATGCCACTCACTTTCTACACCACTTTACGAGGGTCCAAGACCCAGCACAAAGCAAGCGGTCTTAAGCCAAACCAACTCTGTGTGCCATCTAATTTTGGCCAAAGAGGCAACTAACCTCGGTTCAGAACACTTGTCTCAAAGTCGCTGTGAATGAAAGCAGAGCCACTGACGTATCAATTATCTAAAACAGGCGGCAGAATATTACAAGCTAGTACACTTGTGGGCTTAACCAAGGAACCACCATCTTTCACAATCATACAGACATATTGCTGCATAGCCTATCCAACAATACGTTCCACAGCTTGAGATATTTTTAGTGTACAACAAGATAACGCGTTTATTTACAAGAGAGATTTTATGAGTACAGACAGCAAGCCAGGCAAACCTTTTTTCAGCAATCGACTGAGACAGACAGGAGACCTATATATACACAATTGTTTTGTTTGTTGGGGTGAATGGATACGCAGTTGGGATAGCCTAAATGAGTAGACGTTGCAGATTGAATCCAGCCAAGAAATTCAAGAATACTACTACATTTCAAGCATCGTCATCTTCCACGTCTTCGTCGGTGCTTTCTGTCCCTCGTCTTTCGCTTTGGCCCTTCTCTGATAAGAAATAACCG